AGCACTGAGTAATGACAATTCCGGACACAACCCATGATCCACTTACACCATCTAGCCCCGAACCCGAATTTAGTCAAAACTTTCCTCAAAAATTCCCAGTCCACCAAGTCATAAGCCGTTTCCAAGTCCAACTCTCATTAGCAATTAAAATCTGATCAGTGATTTGTCTTCCATTCACAAAAGCTCCTTGGTAGTGTGCAACGATATCTGGAAAAACCTTCTTCAGCCTTAAAGATAGCACTTTTGCAATGATCTTATACAAGCTATTAACCAAGCTAATTGGCCTAAAATCCTTCGGGTGGGAAGCATCTTTCTTTTTTGTAATAGTCATGTGACATTTTATTATAGCTAACCACTTTGCCCCTCGATTACTTGATTTGTTGCTTGTAACTGAATCTTGATTAGTTGCCAGCTGGTTCTTGGTTAGTTGTGTTGAGCTATCCCTGTGGCTGAGTTGGTTTCTTCCATTTTCTTCTAGAATATACCTCCAGCCTATTGTTCATTCTTTTTGGGTCCCTGAGAGGCAGCCTTTTCCTATAAATAGGACACTTGAACCCACTCTAGGGATTTTTTTTCCAAGACATTCAATACTTATTTCATATATCTTTGCCTATCCTAACACCCCTTTTCAAACATCTTTTTCCACCAACTCAAACCCCAAAGCTCGAAACCCTAGGTCAAAACCAATCCATTCCTGCCCAACTTTCAAAAGTTCATAGACCAAAGTCACTCCACAACAAGGTTCAAAATTTCGCAATGTATCGACTGATATGTATCGTTCCAACAAGGATCCAATATGTGGAATGCATGGAAATTATATATAGTGTTCCTTTTCGTTTGTATCAGTCTGAAACAGGCCAATACTCTAAGCGTATCAATGGATGCATAATGAATTTAAACCCTTCCCTCTTTCTAATGTTTTTTTCATTAATTACTCTCTCTTTCTCTCCCTCTCTAATTAATTACCTTCCCTTTTCTAATTATCCTGCCACTCTAGTTGGAATTCTAAAGCTTGATAGGAAGTAGACTGGTATATTTGCTAGAGTTGCTCTAATTAGGGTAATTCTCCCACCTATGGATAAATAATTCCTCTTCCAAAGTGCCAACGCCCTTGTAAACCTCTCCACCATTGGCTTCCAAAAGACTTCTAATCTTGGATTCCCTCCCAAAGGTAACCCTAAGTACTCCAATGGCCATTGATTGACCTCACACCCCACAAGCTCAGCTAGCTCTCTCAAACTTTCATCTTCCAAGTTAATCCATGTTATATAACTTTTTCCCCAATTTACCTTCAACTTGGAAAGCAATTCAAAGGAAGTAATGAGCTCACACAAATTCCTTATACTCTCTTGATTGCGTCCCTCACTGTCATGACTGTCACCTCAAGTCTTCCTATCCTCCATCCTTAAAAAGGTTTCTCCGATCAGCCTCCATAATCATCCTAGTTAGGACATCAGCAATTAAAGTGAAAAGGAAGGGGGAAAGGGGATCCCCTTGTCTCAGTCGTCTTTTTGCTGGAAAGTAATCTCTAGGCACACCATTAATCATGATCGAGTACTGCACTGAACTAAGGCATCCTTTCATCCACATCCTCCACCGCTCCCCTAACCCAATTCTCCCCATAATTTCCAAAAGAAAAGACCAATCCACAAAGTCATAAGCCTTCTCTAAATCCAACTTGCACACCAAGCCCCTCCCTCTCCTCCTCTTCTCTGCTACACATTCATTTGCTACCAATACCTGATCGGTGATCTGTCTTCCTTCAACAAAGGCACCTTGATGTTGTGAGATGACCAAAGGTAACACCTTTTTTAGTCTCCCGGCTACAACCTTTGCTATAATCTGATAGAGACTTCCTGCTAAGCTTATTGGTCTAAAATCCTCTGGAATTTTTGCTTCCTTCTTTTTGGGAATTAGGGCAATGAAAGTTGAGTTTATACCTTGAGAAATTTCCCCTTCAACGTAGAACTCATTGAACACTTCCAACAAATCTCTTTTGATAAGATCCCAACACTCCTGATAAAAAGATAAACAGAAACCATCCAGTCCAGGGCTTTAGACCCATTGAGAAAACTGCCTCTCTAATTTCTTCTATGAAAAACTCCACCTCTAAGGCTGCAACCATAGCTTCAGGCACTCTATTCCATTGAACATTTGGTAGGAAATGGCTCCTCTCCCCTTGACTCAGGTAGACATTCTTAAAGTGACCCACAAAACCCCTAAGAATCTCCTCCTCCTTGGTTATCTCAAGGCCATCCACTTCTAGCCTAGCAATTTGATTCTTTCTTCTTCTCCCATTGGCTAGAGAGTGAAAAAACTTTGTATTGCCATGCCCCTCCAACAGCCACTTGCATCTAGATTTTTGCCCCCAAGAAATCTCTTCCTTCCTAAGGACTATTCTAGTTCACATTTTAACTTCCACCTTCTTTCCTCACTGCTCATAGTTCTAAGAGCTTCTTCCTTATCTAGCTCCTCAATCCTTGAAATAATTTCTTCTTTGATCTCCTCCACTTTAGCAAACTTGGTCCCTATTTACCTTGCTTGGCTAAAGTATTTGTGAAACTATTTCTTGTTCGTTTTGCCCACTTAAATGTAGCTTTCGTCTCCCTTTCTAACCATCTGATCTCCCTCATAGCTTGTCTATGGACCCAAGTTCCTTGACAGTTATTGTTCAACCACCACACCACCAGTTTGGAATCTCTTTCTAGTCTATACATCCATATTTTTGTAGATTTGTTGTTTGCCTAGTCTCAGACCATGCAATACTACTGATATCCCTACCCTCAATGAATCACCAGAACCAATTGGTCCTGAACACAATGCCTAAATAGTTGCCCTTGTACAATGCTACAAGGAGAACAGATGGTTTTTGCTTGTGTAGAAAAAGGGGATATTTTGGACCACCAAGATGGTGATGGTACTCCATAACAAGTACAGCCCCTATTGGAAGAGTTTAAGGACGTTTTCATTAAAGAATTGCCACTTGAATTGCCTCCTGTGAAATGTGCATAGCATGCAACGTCATATTAATCTTATTAAAAGATGTCTCCAAAGGAGCAAGCTGATCTACATTATTGTCAACTTGTACTTAAAGTTGGAAATAAAATGTAAGTCCATCTTTCTAAAAAGAGGTATCATGGTGGAAATTATTATAAGCTCAAGCCTAAGAAGATTTGTCCTTATAAGATTCTGGCAATGATTAATGATCATGTTTACAAAGTAAGGTTTCCTGCACTTTTGCAAATAAGTAACACCTTCATGTGAAGCACCTTTCACCTTACTACAGGGAGCATGACAGTGAGAACTTGAGGGCGAGTTCTTAAAGAGGGGGTCAGTGATATGGTTTATCCTTCTATAACAATGGATGATACAACAATTAACTTCTGGAGACTTTGAGCATCTCAAAGTTACTAAAACGGGTAGAAGAAGTCGGAATCAATAGCTGCACCTAAATTTGGAAGCTGACAGCAGTTCCTAAATTATGGTTTCTTTTTTTTTTCAAACCACCTATTGTTTTCTTTATGGAGTGTCCTGTTTTTCTAAAGTCTGCAATTAGTAGAATAGGAAGCTACTAGTTTAAGTCAACTACTATTTCATTGAGTTTCTATTTTTGTTAAGTTTTCATTATTAGGAGCTTCTAGGATTCTAACAGGAGTCAGCTACAGTTTTAGTAATTGTCAAATTTCTAAGCTTTGAGTTACATATACACATAAATCTGTAGAGCATGAAAATTGAATGAGTTAATTTTTGCTTTCCTCTATAGTTGTTCTTTTCTACTCTTGATATCAGTGCTGGAGAAACATGTGATTTCTTCTTTTTCCTTTGTTATTTTCCAGCAGTTCTCTGCTAGTAGAAGAAAACTAACAACTATCCTCCAGATTTTATCCCAGATTCAGAGCATACTTAGTTGGATTTTGAAGCAAGGCTACCCATCAACCTTGCCTTCCATCTATGAGCCCCTACATTACACCTCCATCTCTAGACCCATTTAGGAGAAGGGAAAATAGAGCATAAGGAATACTAAATCAGCGCAAATTAAACCAATGAAACAAATGCTCCTCTGATACACCACTTTTTACAAGGTCCTCCCCAAGTTATCAGCAAACGTAGAAATCCAAGCAAACAAGATGTACAAACTGGCCTGGAATGCATGGGGCTCTCTAACTTAAGTACGTAAGAGAACTTTTAATTGCTTCCCGAATGATGCTTCCTTACCAATACTATTGCCCAATCCCCATCGAAGTTCACCATATTGAACTGATAGAAATGACTGAGCCCCAAATTGGGTTATCAATAAATCAGCCTCGCTTGCAGCCAGGCAGAATAAGATTACTGGCTTGAATATCACATCTTACGTTCCCCATTTTAAGTTCTTTGAGAAGAAATAGAACAAAGATTTAAAGATAGTCACAACTTCATAGACAGAGTTGATAGTCCAGAAATTAGTTCAATCTTAATTCACTAAAGAAATTACGAAGAAAAATAGCAAAAACAGCATTTCGTGGTTACCTTGGATCAATGATATGTGTCTTCTTAATCTCTTTGATTTCAACCTTTTTAACATCTGAAACTCTCGACCAAAAATCTAAACCCACATCACCGAAACTTAAGCCAAAAAACAACCATTTATAGGGTTCAGCGGAGGCAAAGTGTAAAAATCTATATCAAACTTACGATGGCGAAACGAGTATCGATGGTAAGAATCCGACGAAATCGAACCTACAGAATTGATTCCAGTGAAACAATTTACCGACAAAAAATTGCTCAACGCACTTGGTGAAGTCCGAAACGTTCGCCTTCCAAACTCTGGAGTCGTATCGAACCGAAACCGTCGATATTCTTCAAAAATCTGATCAGCGACCGGAGACACTTCACACAGACTGCAAGGAACAGAAGAGGAGATTCTCGCCGGCCAGGAGCTGAATGTAGATACCCGAAGGTGCGTGAGAATGCGAAAGGTTGTCATCAAACGGGTGCGGAAGATACTGCAGTTCATGCTACAGCATTTCCATCGAATGTTCGAATGGAGCAGAAAAGGGATGAGGAGCGGAAAAAGATGAATGTCTGAGAGGAGAGGCTCTAGCTTTGCGATGAGGGTAGGGTTTGCGATGCTTGGAAGCCCCAAGAACGAGACTCATGGCGTGAGAAAGTTCGAAAACTCTGGAGAATCTAAGCTCGGAGAGAATATACTTAGTCTAACTTCTCTCCATTTCCACCGCTACGTCGTTGCCAGAAACGTTGCAGCGAGAAAGACATCTTTACAATGGCATCTACCCACTTATAAGCCCAGAACAAAAATACGTTCCGTGCAAAGCTAATAGCATTTTCTACGATACCCGAAAAGTCCGGTACCTGAAAAACATTATGCAATCAGAAACCCACCTGAATTGAGTTCGGATCTCTGTCCACGTATCATTGCAGCCACACATAGAGAACATCTCATCTTCCTACTGTTCTGCACGGAATAGTGTGTTGTGGGTAGACGTGGGCAGAGTTATAATGGGCAGGAGATTCAAACTCACCTGAATTTCAATGAATAATTTGGCATTTAAGCTGCATTTGGTTATAGTGCAATTTTATTTGCATTAATACAAATGCATGGTAGTCCAAATGAAAAAATGCAAATTTTTATTTGATTTTATTTTTGGGTGTCTTTGTTCTATTTCATGTCTTAAGTTACTTCATTTGTACTACAATTAAACAAAATAAGCTAAAATTTAAAATAAAAAATAGATCAGAATTTACACTCAATTCATTTGTATTATCATAATTTTACATTAGTGAAATTTATTTACGTGCAACCAAACAAGCCTTAGTAACAAAGTAGTAAACTACCAGACCCATTAAGAGCAAGGTTTTAAAAACCGACCCGAAAATGAAACCATTTTGGCCACCGGTTTCCAGGTCAGCGATTCGACCGTCTGGGTCAAACGGTTCGAATGGTTTTAATATTTTAACACGTGATATGTCATCTTACCCATTAGATTGGAATATTAGAGTAAGATGCATATAAATATAAGAGAAATAAGGCTTGACCATTTGAGAATGAGAGAGATTTGAGAAGCTATCGACGGCTAAAAGAGTTTAGAAGAGAAATAAGAGAGAGAGAGAGATGGGAAGAAGAAAAAGAAAGAAGGGGAGGAGGTCACACTGCTCAACCACCTCATCGCTAAACTATAGTTCAAACTCACTGTGTGTTGCAATGAGTTTAATGCCAAATATACTGTTGATGGGCACGCTCAAGCTAAGGGGATTAGTGCTTGCATCATCACTTTCACTATTGGTGGGCACAGTGTCCTCAATGCCATCGCCATGCTTACGGTGAGAACCCCTATTATCTGCACCGTTCGTTTGCCCAATTCCAACAATTATGGACAATTTACAAAGGGTTGAAATTTGCGTATGGAAAAACTTCTCCCACCGTACAACATTCATCACTTTTAATGGGCCAAAACATTATTTAGTAACTGATTTAAATTTTGCATGAGACCAGTACTTGTGAAGAAGACAATGCTTCAAGGCTTTGTTTGTTAAATTTTCAAGCCTCCATAGTTCTATCGCACTTATCTTTAATTCATAGCTTAGCTCAATCAGTAGTTTGAACCATGTTAATTGAAGAGTTGTAATTTTAGTTGTTTCTTTTGGTTTATGTTTCCTACAAATTTAGTTGTTTAATCGATGTAGGAAGTTGGATCTAGAGAACAGTTTAACCACTACTTCTATTTGTGTATATCTTTTTATTGCTTTCCTCTAAACATCATAGACCAAATATAACAAAATATGAACTTTTCGAGTCGCTCCCAGCGCCTAAGGGCTTCAATACTGCCTAAGACCTAGTTGCCTCTTCGGCATTGGGCAAAGTTTAGGAGTGGACTCCGAGTCGCTCCCAGAGCCTAAGAGTTAAAGTGTCGGACTGGCAAAGACCTCGGCACCACATAAGTCCCAGTCGCCTCTATGACATGGGCACTATTACTGCTAAAAGACCCTGTCGCCTCTACGGCATGGGCACTACTACTGCCGAAAGACTCAGTCGCATTTACAGCATGGGCAATACTACTGCTGAAAGACACAGTCGCCTCTACAGCATGGGCACTACTACGGCCGAAAGACCCAGTCGCCTCTACGGCATGGGAAACATTACTGTTGAAAGACCCAGTCGCCTCTACGGCCTGGGCAACATTACTGCTGAAAAACCCAGTCGCCTCTTCAGCATGGGCAAAGTCAAGAAGAGTGGACAACAAGTCGCTCCCAAAAGTCTACGGGCCGTACTACTGCTTAAGACCAAGTCGCTTTCTCAGTATGGGCAAAATTCAGGAGTGGACTACGGGACCCTCCCAAAGCCTAAGGGCCATACTACTGCTCAAGACCCAGCCGCCTCATCGGCATGGGCAAAATCAACAAAAATGGACTATAAGTTGCCCCCACAACCTAAGGGCTACAGTAGAGACCTCCTCACCTTACAGGCAGCTCGCCACTTATAGGCAGCTCGCCACTTATAGGCAGCTCGCCACTTACAGGCAGCCCACCACTTACAGGCAGCTCGTCACTTACAGGCAGCTCCCAAAGCCTAAGAAATTGGATCATCGCTTACTAGCTCGTTGACTTACGGGCCAAAAGGAGAAATCTACTCCCTTCGCCAAGTTACTCTTAGCTCGAGAGTGGGGGGCAAATGTTGATGGCGTATTTGGCCCTCTAGTGAAATTGTGACACTTGGCACCTCATGCCAACTATGCAACCTCTTGACAACTAGACAGCCCAAACTAGCCACAAGCAGCTCGCCATAAGGCAGCTTACCTCAGGCAGCTCGCCATAGGCAGATCGCCACAGGCAGCTCGCCACAAGCAACTCACCCTTAGCCTGGCACAGGCGCAAGCTGGCAACCTGGCCCAAACACCGACCCACCGCCTGACACACACGCGAACCTGACAACCCGGCCCAGGCACCGACCTGGCCGCTGACACAGACGCCAACCTAGCAGCCTGACACAGGCGCCAGGCTGACAACTCCGAGGAGCTCACCACCGTACTCCGATTCTGACGGGATGTGACGAGTCTTACCGTTTGAAGGCTTTTCACCCACCTAACACGCAGCAGGTCCCATCACAGCAGGGATCCAGTGACCGTTACACTAACCCACGAGAACTCCAGTATATAAGGACCTCACCCCCGAGAGGGGAGAGGGAGGAAAAAGGATGGTAACCTCTGCTCTCTAGCTCTCTCATTCTCTAGTATCATCTTTAAGCTCCCTGCTATCAGAGTACTAACTTAGCCATCGAAGTGACCTCGTCGGGTAAACACCCCCGGGTTCTCTAATTCAGTTCTCGCAGGTTCTTCAGCTCCCGCCGTCTACAAAGAGAAGCAGATCATCTCATGCAGGGAGCAACCGAGTTGCACTACACTAGGGAGCTCGTCCTCAAGGCAACTTGCCAAGCAGCTCATCAAGGTAGCTCACCACCAGGCAGTTCGCCACCAGAGAGCTCCACTTCATCCTCTGAGCCATAGGCCACCTGGGAGCAGATCAAATGACGAGGTATTTAGCCAAAAAATTGAGATATCACGAAAAAATGATACGTGACCGGAACCGGTTACATCAGTCCCAACATGAAATTGCGATAATAATCTCTGAACTCATTCAAAATTAGTTGATATCTCTCTTGAGGGACGTATTGTGTTCCAAATTCACGTGAAGATACACCACAACTATCACAATATCCCTCAAAAGGAACAGAACCAAAGAGCCAACAAATAACTACAAACTAGTAAGAACTATTATATCCATATGAATCATAACCATAACCATAGCCATATGAATCATATCTTGAAGTTGATAAAGACAAATTCTTACTAATAAAACCTTGCATCATTTCATCATAATAATGGGATTGTCTTTCATGATTATGATTTGGTTGTGTATTTTTACGATTAGAATGATCTTGGTATTGTGTGACATGATCAAAATATTGTTTTTCAGTAAATACAATGCTATTATCATTATCAACATTGCCTCTTAGTGGTGTATATTGAGTTTCACTATAACCATCACCATCACCTTCCACATCATTGCCACTTCCATCATCACCACCATTACTACCGTAACTATCAATTCTATCATAATCATCAGCAGGTTATGTTTCATCAATATCCCTTTGAGTGCATTATTCTTCAACCCAACTATCAACATTTACATGTAGTTTTTTAGTAATAAATGTATTGGGTCTAGGTGGATCACTAGGTTTATCTAGCAACATTATATTTTTTTTGCACTTTGAACTTGTAGCCATTCTATTAGTGGATCATCGTCATCATATATCCCTCTGAATGTTTCCTATCATTTTTAACATCATGTTATAGTGAACATAAACTAACATTTTCAAGTTCTTATATGATAAACGATTTCGTTACTTTGAGTGTATAAGACCAAAAGTACTCCAATTACGTTCACACCCACTAGATGATGCAATTTGTAACAATACTTTCATTGCAATGAATTGTAGATTTGGAGCGCTTTTTCCAAAATAAAAGCCACCATTCAGCTACAAAAAAAATCATATATTAGTATAATACATAATTTATCTCCAAATATTTAATATTATAAAAGTTACGAAAATTAAATTACCTTGATCGAAATTATCTCTTAATCTTTTGCTTGAAGAATTTCCAAAAAACCCTTGTGCCTCACAAAATGTTTTTATCTATTTTGCAACAATTATTGTTAATACAAGAGCTTTAATATATTATTATAAAATTATTCAAATTTTACTTTTTATTATCTCTTATAATGCCCTAGTTGTCTTATCTTCATTTCGTTCCAACTTTATGATAACAAGCCTTAAGGATCTTAATAAATCTTATTAACACCGAAATCCAAAGAGTATTGATATTTTGGGTGTAAATAATATGCTAAAATTCAAAAATAACAAAATATTATTAATATCAATTTAAATATTCAAATTATGTAAATATAATTAAAAATGACTAACCAAACATACATGTTGCATGCAAATCATGAAGAAGTTGCTTATTCCATCTTTTTTCTATAATAGTTAATATCTTATTGCAAGATCTTGGACCAGCTTTTTCAATAGCAGCACATGTTCTATGCATAGCTTCATAGACAACACCCATTGTTGCTTGTTTTTCACCATTTATAATCCTTAGTAGTTTCACAATTGCTTCAATCATTTGATAATATATTTCACACTGCCTTCAAAAGTTAATGTCACTGATTATGGTTTCCACATCTCTCCCAATTGATGTTGATGTTGCTT